AAGTTAGACTCAATGGTGTCTAAACTCTGTATCCAGCCCATGCCCGGGCACACATTCTCCTTGTTTCCAATCCCAAGAAGACGCATGTTGCACCTGCAATAAACAGGTACCGAAGCGGTATGCCCATCCCCAACCTGGTGTTTGCCTCAAGATGCCACTAAGCCCCATTTCTTAGGCTTCCCAGTCTCTGGCTGATACATGTCCTACGCTGATGTGGCCACAGACACTTCTTCAGGAGCAAAAGGAAAATCCCTGCTTTAAACCCAAAGACTGGCTGCCCCGCTGTGGCGGGGATGGAGGGGGGTGAGTGGGAATGTCTGTGGGTGTGGAGATTGTTAGTGGGTTCCAGCGCACTTCCTGGAGTCGCAGATCAGCAAGGGCTTCGGAGGTGACTCTGTTTAGCCTGCTCATTAAACCAAATGGAAAACTGAGGGCTGGACAAGAGAAGTGGCTTCCCCAGAGGCCGCACAGTGGGTTCTGTCCTCGCACAAGAAGAGTCCCTGCGCCCTTGGGTAGGATAGAGTTCCTGCACCCTCCAGCCAGCCTGCTGACCTTCCGGAGGATGGGAGGGGGTGGTGTGGGCCCTCTGTGCACTTCGGCCCAGCTGGAGATGAGAGGCACACGCGGCATTCTCTCTAGACCGAGTGCTCCCCCTCTTCCCAAGACTCGGAACCCTGCTGGGTGTTCAAGAGGCAGTCCCTCGCCACGGTGACACCACTCTGGGAGATGCCACCCTGCTTCACCGTGAGAGAGGATTCAAAACCAGGGAGGAGGAGGAGCTTGGGGGGACCCCAATTAGGGAACGCATTCTGACCCAGTTTGGGGTCCCTCTCACACAGCCACACAGACCCGCACACAGCCGTGCGGCTGGTTCACCCCCACACTTGCGCTGGTTTAGGTGGGTGGGGCGGGGTGACTGTAAGGAAGCACCTTTGTGGCTAAATCTTGTAACTGACCTACTAAGTGATCATAAAAACACGAGAACCCCGAGTAGCCGGCAGGCAGTATTTCCCTGGGCCAGGGCCCAGGACCAAGGTGAGGCCCTGGCATCTAAGAGGCCTTAGATCCGCGGTGAATGAGTGAGTTGATGGACATACATCCACATCTGTCTCACAGAGCCCGAGGCGTGTGGGCCACCCCGGAAACAATGAGCCGCCTGGTAGGCTTTGGGCGGGGCTGGAGGGTGTTGCCTGCAACGGTGCCCTCGGGCTTCCAGTGAGGTGCCTCCGTGTTCGCGCACTCGTTTCCGTCTCCTTGACTGAGCCCGAAGCTCAGGGAAGTTATGTGATGTACCTGGCATCACGTGCCCGGCCAGGCACAGAGCCAGAACCTGAACCGGAACCCAGCCCTCCGGCCCCCGGATCAGAGCTCTCCAAGCACCCTGCACTCCTGCCTCTCCTGGGAGGAGAGCTGCCTTAGGAGTGTTGCTAGGGCAGAGGCTGGGGGGCAGGCTGGTGGCAGGCTGCTGCGGACATGGAGGGCTTTGGCCCCCTAGGACCCTCTGTGGTCCTAGGAGGCGCCGCTCCTGCCCAGGACATCCTTGATACTCATCAGACACCAGCCAGGCTGAACTCCTCCTTCCCATTTTCACTGAAGGTTAGGCCTAGAGTTCCCTGAAAAGCAGAGTTGTATTAGACAACCTGGGTTCACGTTCCAGCCCTGCCACTGACTGGCTATGTGTCCCATGGGTAATTACTTAACTTCTCTGTGCCTCCATTTCTTCAACCACAAAATGGGTGGGCTACAAAGTAATCATAACCAGGGGCCACACATGTCAAGTGCCTGCGGCAGGGAACGGCAGGTGGGAGCGCTCGCTGCAATCAGTGGTTCAACAGTACACGCTGTGTGCCTCCCCGGCGCCAGGCACAGTGCTAGACACTCATAAATATCATGCAAATTTAATGGGAGTAGCGTACAAAGTAGGGGAGAGCCGGGAAGAAAAAGAACAGTCAGCGCTGCCTAGCCCGGCTCTTGGAGCTGCCAGAAGAATGCTGTGTAATGGGCCTGTCTCCTCTCCACTGTCCATCCCCAACTCTGAGGCCGCAGATGCTTTGTTCTGAAACCCACAGTAAAATCCCGCCAGGTTCTGTAGGCGAGTAGGGCTCAGGAAGCCCGAGCCTGCCCAGGGTAGGGCTCAGCTGGAGCGCAACCTCCCTTTCCCCTCTGACATGAAACTCTCCTCTCGGGGCATTAGAAGAGATCTGCCCGGGCACAGGATGTGAAGCCCTGTGCCCTCTGCAGGGGAGGGTTACCCCCCCAGTATCCCAGCCTCCACGGTAATCCTAGTGCTCAGAGAAAGAATGCTAAGCTGAACTCCCCGATAACCAGCTCAGGCCAATTGCACGTTGGAACAACTGCCCACCCTGTCCTCCTCTTCTTCGTTCTCCTGACCCCTTCAACGTGATTCCCTCAATCGCCCCCTCAGTTCAGTCAGCACCACTTAATGAGACCTGTCTCCTATCCATACATGGACTCCTCCATCCTGTTCCCGAAGAATATGCCACTCTCCTGCTTGCCTACCTTCCAAATCCCACGCCATTTTGTGATTGATTATGAATAAGGCTCTGGCCCAACCTGACAGCACCTTAAAGGTTCAAGAGAAGAAACTCCTATCTCTCCTTTGAGGAGCCAATGAGCTTATTTTCAAGAAGTCTAGGCTGACAAAGTGCACATAAAGCCTGGTGCTGCCTCGCCCAGCCAGGGGGCCTCCAGCCCGTAGAGTGGGAAGCAGGGCCTCTGCTAACACAGGAGGGATGAGAAGCGTCTGTAGCCCTGGCTGAGCCCAGGTACAGACTGTGCACAATTCCAGGGGGCGCCATTCACACTGTGGCATCCCTAAAGTTATGCAATGCAGGGGCTCTGAGCTAGCAGCTTCCTGCCTTCCCGCAAAAGCTGCCAATGGATCCCCAGAGCCAGACTCTTCTGCACAGCCTTCCTTGATCCTGTCCTCCTGCAGCCTTAAACGGGGGTTTAGAGGAAATCTGCCCTATATAAAAGCCCGAGGCCACCCAAATCAACACATGCACTACAGCTTTCCATGAATCCTGTGGGCACAGGACCTGCCTTTCTTCTGATGAGCTTGGGAGGAAGGGGGAAGTTCTTGGCACCAATACAGGAGGACAGGTGGGCAGCCCTGTGCCGGGGGTCAAGCAGCGAATCATTTATCCTCACCCACAGAGTCGGCTATTGGAAGCAGGTGGAGGACGGGAGGTGGGGAGGCATCTTTTATTTTTAAACCTTTATTGTTCTGATTAAGTATTTCTTTTCCCTCTGACCTTCACCAGTCCGGTTCAGACGATCAAACAGCTAGTGTGTCTGAGGGAGGCCTGGACCTGTGACACATGGACTCTGGATGGGCCAGCCTGCTTCCAAGCAGCCACAGGAGACTGCGGCTAATCTGTGCCAGGCCTGCGGGGGCCCAGGAAAAGGCCTGGCTGGAGCTCCACTCTGCCTGGACCAGACCAGCCGTGGGTGGGGCAGATCTCCCACTCCGGGGCCCAGACCACCCTCCCGAGGCCCTGGCAGCAAGTGAGTCCGGAGGAATTACAACCTACCAGTAAGACTTTGGAGAGAAACAGTCACCTCTCTGGGATGAAAAGATCTGTATCTCTCTGCCTCTTCCCATCATGGGGCTGGATATCGTATGAAGTGTGTGTGTTTTAAACACATTGGTATGGAACTTCTGGATGCGGGCAATTAAAGAGATGAGAAAGGTCACTGTGGGCCTTGTACTAACTGAGTGCGATGAGGGCGTTTGGGGAATGAGGAGCAAGAACTGGGATCGTGAGGAGAGTTTCTGGGAACTGGCATCAGAGAGCACTACGTCGCTGGACCAGCAACTGTCTCCTCTGGCGGTGCAGGGGGCCACCCTCCGGCCCAGCCTCCCGCCCATCCTCCACCTCACCGCCACTCCCCGACTCCCTTCTCTGGGTCCCAGCCACGCCCTCTGCCCTCCACTCTTCACTCTCTCTGCCCCGGCTGGCAGCACCGCCTCCAGTCTCCCCTCAGATCTACAGGTGCCCGTAAACAAAGTGCTGCAGCGACGCCGCCACCTCTTCCGCAGCCACCTCCCCAACCCCCACCCTGCAAAGTTCCTCCCAAGGTTAAGCTGGGTTCGGGCAGCGGTCCGAAAAGGGCCCCCAGGCCCAGCGTCTGGGCTTTAAGCCAGGCTTTTCAAGCACGCGGATCCACGGAGTCTTTTCTCTGGATCGGAAACGCTCCCCCAGCTCAGGGCTGGGCTCCCCCGTGAAAGGTTGGTCCTGGAAAACCAGCCTCCATCTGTGCTCACGCCGCTCTGCACGGGCACCCCGGACCCGGCTCTGGAGACCACCCGGGGTGGCCTCGGGCGTTTTCGTCGCCATCGCCCGTCCCCCTCCCCCATCGTGAACACGCCTTTCACCGTCTCGCCTTAGGATTGCTAGGACCCTCTTCGCCCCCCCCCCAAACTCAAAGCCCCGGCACTGGGCCCACTCCCCTTCTGTGCACCCCCCACCCCCAAAGCCCAAGATGGGAGCAGAGGGCACTCTCGCAAGACGATGCTGTCGTCCCCACCAGCCCCACCCAGACCTGCCCCTTCTGCAGTGCCCCGTAATCGGAGCCTGCAGCATCTGCTCAGCTAGGTGCACGCCTGGGGGCGATTCGCCAGAAGGGGGGCAGGGGGAGCAGGTCCAAAGTCCAGCCGCAGCCAGGACCTCCTCCCCTCGGCGCTGCACGCCCCGACCCCGGCATCCCGCATTCCTCTCAGCACCCCGCCTCTGGGGGTGGGGAGACCCTGCCGCGAGCCGGGGGGACCCAGGGAGGGGGCGCTGGGCAGGGAGGGTGCCGACTGTCCGGTGGGTGCACCTTGTTTACTCGCGGTGCAGTTAGCTGGCTGGGCTGCGGGAGGCCTCTGGCTGCGAAGTGCCCCGGCCCGCCCCGCCCCTCGCGGGGGTCGCGGCTCCCAAGCTGCCTCCCCAAACCCGTGGCCCTAGCCCTCGGCTCCAGTGGCCCCACAGACTCACGTCTCGGAAGCGATTCCAGTCCTTGATCTTGCCGCTGTACTGAGAAATGGACGACAGCCATTGCTCGTCCTCCATGAAATTGCCGGGGGTCTCGCCCTCCTTGATCCCTTTGGCGTCGCTTTCAGCCCAGGCCGCCGCCACGAGGAGCAGCAGCAGCGGCAGCGCCAGGCGCCCGCAGCCCGGGACACGCATCGTGGTCTGGGTTCGACCTGGGGGGTCTTCACTTCTTCAGTATTTTAATGCCTTTTCTCCCACCCCGCGGTAGTCGAAGCAAACGCCGTCGTCTTCCTCAGCCTTTTTCCTGCGTGGTCTGACTCCGGTGACAGTCGGATAGTGGGTAGTGGCTGAGATGTGACCTGGTTAGGAGATGCACTTGTCTGAAAAAGCCCAGCGCTGGACGCGGAGAGGAAGAGAGAATCAGAGAGGCTGCGCCAACAGGGGCCGTGTCTGTAACTGTAGCATCAGCATCACGTTTGACATCATCATACCTGGTTTAAAAAAAAAAAAAAAAAAAAAAAAAAGGAGGGGGTAGATTTCAAAGGGAGGCGCTAGATGAGAGCGGCCAACGCCAGCCAGCCGCAGCAGAGCCCAGCCCAACCCAGAACTCGGGGAGTTGCAAACCTGGGAATCCAAACAGGAGGCGTCCCTGCTGTCTTTCCAAGGGTGGAAAGCAAGAAGCGGGGGCCCCAGGCGTCTCCCCAGGGAAGATGGAAGAGGCAGAAGACACAAAACGCTCTGGTTACACAGCCAGCCAGGCTCAGGTGTCTAAAAGGGAATTTGGCCACAGACACTTTCTCTCCCCTTGCTTCCCACCCAGGGGGCCTGTGCCACAGCCCTGACAGCTGGCTTCCTGTGAGCTGTGGCTCTACGGTAATGGGTGGCTTTGTGAGGACAAAAGCCATATAACAACTGGCTGGGAAAGCGTTCTGCCTGAGAACTACTGCTCCGCAGCCCCACATGCTGTGTTCCAGGAGAGGCCTGGACACTGAATGGCGGGCAAACAGAGGCAGATGCCTCCTGCCCAGGCAGCTGTTCAAGGGCCGTCGCCCCTTTTGTTAGCTCTTCCTAGGGCAGCCCTAAAAGGCAGTGTCGGACCGTTCATCTGCCTTGAGATGCAAATTTGAAAGAGGCACATTTGCTCCTGGTTTTGACTTCAAGTTGATTTTAATAAGCCACTGGGGAAGGGGGCCAGCGAAGGGGGACTGGATTTGTTTGAAGTGTTACGGTTTTTGTCAACATCGTGGCCCTTATCGCGCCTGCAGAAACGTGTTGGCACACAAGCTGGGAAAACTGGGCGCGGTCCCAGTATCAGAGCGGAGAGGAGGTGAGCTTTACATTCTAAATAAATTGAAGAGGAAACATAATCTGATAGAACAAAACACTGAACTTTCGGGACTCAAGCCCTAGATTGTGTTTTTATAAAAAATAAATAAATAAAAAGAAATTGGCTGCCGCGATCTTTAAAAAATAAAATGAAAGGCAATGAAAAACATGATCTTAATCAGTAGGAAAAAACAGTTTATAAGGGTCACAGTCACCCTGAGTCTGGCCTGGCAATTCTGACGGCTTGGGCCGGGGTTCCCTTGGGAAAACAAAACAAAAGCTCCCTTTCCCTGTTTGCTTTGTCCTTTCAGTTGGAAGTAGAGGTGGTGCTGTCGTAATGGGGACACGGCCCCTGATGTCTTCATCTCACGGTACAGGGAGCAGCTTTGCGGGTCGTGCAGCAGCACAGACAGAGGAACAAGTCTGTCGCCTTGTGGGCTGGGGTGGAACCCCACTTACTCTCTGGGCTCTGGGCCCATCACCAAACCTATTTTGTCTATGAATTAATGATGATACCACTTGTGTTAGAAGCTTGCTGTGAAATTCATCCAAATTGCATACTATGCCTGGGTGTAGTGGGAACTTAAAAATGTTAGTTCTTGCTTTGACCAGTGTGCTCGGTTGGTTGGGCGTAGCCTGAAGAGCATTTCCCAGTGGAGACACCTGCCTAGGTTGCAGGTTCGGTCCCCGGCTGGGGCATGTGTGAGGGAATTGATCAATGTTTCTCACATTGTTGTTTCTCTCCCTTCCTTTCTCCCTCCCACCCCCTCTCTAAAAATGAATGAATGAATGAATGAATGAATGAATGAATGAATGAAAAATTTAAAACGTCCAATCCGGAAATGTTTTCACAGCCAAACCTGGAAGCCGGCTCACTGTCCATCAGTCAGAGATCAACTACTTACGTTTTAACATATACACACAATACACTTGTGCAGACATTCAAAACGACGTAGACGCATCATCTGACGACCACGAACTCGACCCCCTGCACATTGCTGGGTGAGAAAAGCTCGTCACAAGGCCATGTGTGCTACCTCCCCTTGGAAGGAACAGTGTGTAACGGCAAAGCAGCTCTCACACTTTATGGTCTCAGGGGTGCCGCACACTCAAAAACTACTGAGGACCTTACAGAGCTTTTATGTGAGATACGGGGGGGCACCCCAAACCTAGATTTATAAGAAAGTTGTGTATTTATTTTTTTTAATTTACTTTTTTACTGATTATGCCATTACAGTTGTTCTATTCCCCCTTCATTCCCCTCCACCCTACCCCCCCGTCCCCACCATTACCCCCCCTTTAGTTTATGACCATGTGTCTCAAGTTCCTTTAGATTCTATATTTCCCATACTATTCTTGCCCCCCCATCTATTTTCTATCTACTGTCTATGCTACTTATTTTCTGTACCTTCTCCCCCCTTCTCCTTCTCCCACTCCCCTGTTGCTAACCCTCCATGTGATCTTCATTTCTATGTTTCCACTCCTGATCTAGCTGTCCTTTTAGTTTGCTTTTGTTTTAGGTGTGGTTGTTAATAACTGTGAGCTTGCTGTCCTTTCACTGTTCATGTTTTTTTAACTTCTTTTTCTTAGGTAAGTCCCTTTAACATTTCATATAATAAGGGCTTGGTGATGATGAACTTGAATTTGATCTTATCTGAGAAGCACTTTATCTGTCCTCCCATTCTAAATGAAAGTTTTGCTGGATAGAGCAATCTTGGTTGTAGGTCTTCGGATTTCATGACTTGGAATACCTCTTTCCAGCCCCTTCTTGCCCGTAAAGTCTCTTTTGAGAAATAAGCTGACAGTCTGATGGGAACTCCTTTGTAGGTGACTGTCCCATTATCTCTTGCTGCTTCTAGGATTCTCTCCTTCATTTTAATCTTGGCTAATGTAATGATGATGTGCCTTGGTGTGTTTCTTCTTGGGTCCAACTTCTTTGGGACTCTCTGAGCTTCCTGGATTTCCTGGAAGTCTATTTCCTTTTGCCAGATTGGGGAAATTCTCCTTTATTATTTGTTCAAATAAGTTTTCCACTGGTGGCTGTTCCTTTCCCCCTTCTGGTACCCCTATAATTCGGATGTTGGAGCGTTTAAAGATGTCCTGGAGGTTCCTAAGACTCTCCTCATTTCTTTGAATTCTTGCTTCTTCACTCTTTTCTGTTTGGCCATTATTTGCTTTCTTCTGGTCCACTCCATTGATTTGAGTCCCAGTTTCCTTTTCATCACTATTGGTTTCCTGTGCAATTCCATTCATTTCATTTAGTTTCGCCTTCATATGTTTCTCTAATTTGTGGCTATAATCAACCAGTTCTGTGAGGATCCTGATCACCAGTGTTTTAAACTGTGCGTCTGAGAGTTTTGCTATTTCTTCATCGCTTAGATTTATAGGTTCTGGGGCTTTGAGATCTTCTTGAGCCATTTTTGGTCTGTTCACAACCGTTAAGTATGAAGAGCGGAGCCTTGGACTCCCAGGTGGCTGGGTTGTGATGCTGTATGTGGGGGCGTGGTCAGAGCGGGGAAATGGCGGCCCCCTCTGCTGTTTTGGGCCACTGGGTGAGGTGCAGAGCCTTAGGTGGTTTACCAGGGCTGGGCCACTCAGAGTCACTGGGTTATGATGCTGTATGTGGAGGCGGGGTCAGAGCAGGGGAAATGGCGGCACCCGCCGCTGCTGCTGGCCTGCGCCGCGAGGACCCACTGGGTCCCATCCAATTGCCCACTCCGTCGCTTGCCTTGTTAATATGTAATCCATTACATATTAACAATAATGTATTTTATTAAAAACAACTATATATTCCCCTAAAAAATTAAGTGAGAAGAGTGGCATCGTTTTACATTTTTGCAAATCTCTTTAATGTCCTGTGGTACCAAAAGACCACAGGTAAATTCGCTTCTGCAAGTGTATCATTGCTAGGGCTGGCGTGAAATACCGCAGGCCAGGTGGCTTGCACAGCAGAGATTTATTTGCTCAAGGTTCTGGGGGATAGAAGTCCAAGATTAAGGTGTTGGTGGGCTTGTTTTCTTACTGAGGACTCTCTTCCTGGTTCACAGACGGTCACCTTCTCACTGTGTCACACTGGTCTTTCTTCTGTGCACGCATACAGCTGATGTCTGTGTATCCAAATTTCCCCTTCTGTTCAGGTCACCGGTGAGACTGGCCGAGGGTCCATCCACTGTAACAGCCTCAGCCTCATCTTAACTTAATTACCTCTTTGAAGGCCTCATCTCCAAACCAGTCGCATTATGAGGCAACTGGGAGTGAGGGCTTCAACATGTCAGTTCTCAGAGGACATGTCCAGCCCACAATAGCAGCCAACACTGAAATTGCTAGTAAGAACCCAGTAGAAGCACTGAGATCAAACTGAATTAATCCTAAAAACACATATTTATACCCCAAACTTTCCAACTTACAAAACTGTAGAAAACACAAACATATACAAGCACATATGGTATTAACCAGGGTGATGTCACTGTGCCATGTAGTGTCTGGAAAACTCCACCGTACACCAGCAAGACTGAGCGTGAAAAAGGCAATGACACCCTACTAGTCTTATGAAAATAATGTGGACCTTGAACGCATCCCCAAAATGTCCTGAGGTACTCTCAAGCGTCCACGGACCACATTTTAAGAACCACTGAACTTTGTTAAGCCTCAGTTTATAAAATGAGGATAATAATAACACCTAGTGAAGTGGGCTACCATGAGGATTAAATGAGTTCATACACAAAGAAATGATAAATTAGAGCATTCGGCCAGTATTAGCTGTTATTATTTGTGAAAAATTTCTTAACAATATATGTGCACAGGGAATAGTAACCTCTGAATGATGAATTTATTTTTTTAAACAAATACTTAAAGTATAACATATACATTGAAAAAAGCATAGCGCATATATAGCTTGATATTGTACATAGTAAACTTATTTTAAAATGACATTTTATTCAAAACAACCAGAAAAGCAATTAATAAAAACAATCGCAGCAGCAACCCTTCTCACCTATAGCATCCTCGGGCTTGGACATCCACACCCCAAGGTGCCGGCCTCAGTGCCACCAGCAGGGAGAGAGCACACCTCAACAAAGCTGTGTGTCACTGTGCGGCCAGTTCCCACCAGGGTCCCAACTCTGGAGCTCATTTAAAAATAAATGTTGTTAAGTCCTGGCTGGTGCGGCTGTTGATCGGACATCATCCCGCAGAGCAAAGGGTCACCAGTTAGATTCCTGGTCGGGGTATATGCATGGGTTGCAGGTTCGGTCCCTGATCTGATCGATGTTTCTCTCTCACATCAATGTTTTCTCTCTCTTTCTCCTTCCCTTCCCCTCTCTCTCTAAAAATAAATAATATTAAAAATCTTTAAACATAAATGTTGTTAAGTAATATTTATCATGTCTTTATGATGGGTATGGAGTTCATCTGGGGGTAACTCATTATGCCCCCTCTAAAAAAATCAAAATTATTCTCTGTAACAAAGTTCACAATATACCGATACTAATCTTGTGTAACAATTGGGGTGATTAGTTCATTTTCCCTCTTCCTCTTCCAAGAACAGAGGGTGAAGTGGTGCCTCATAAACTAGCAGCAGCACAGTGAGATATGATGAGACCCAATCACAAACAGGGCAGCAAACCCCCCAACATGTGTGCCATGACACTTTGGTGAGAGGGGACCCTGAATCTCGAGAAGTTCTTCTGGCTCCATCAAAAATTATTTGCTTTCTACCACTGCTGTGCTTTCACAAAGTCCTACTGGTGCCAGCCATCAGAAAGAGACCAGTAAGGGAGCAGAAGCACCAGGATGACACGCGGGCGCTGACCCCCCCAGTCGGCCTCCCTGGCCGGTGCCATCCCTGGAGCATCATTCCTACGCGCCATCTAACCATCGGCGGTGAGCAAGGTAAAAATCGACTCCAACTAAAGAATGCGTATTACTAGTACAAAGCTTCTGGGGGAAAACCAGTCCTACGGGCACCAGTGAGTACGTGCTGGATCAACGACACAGCTCCACCCGTGAATAGGTGATGGCAACACTGAATCCAAAACACACACTAAGGGGGTCAAACCATAAAACTATGAAAATATTAAAAGACACAGCTGCTTTGGAAATTTGTTTATTCACAACTGATCTGTGCAGTCACAGTGCTAAACAAGCTGAGTGTTATACACAACCCTCACTATGTAGTGACCTTAAAACACAGGGTTCAGAATCCAACTTCTTAAACAGAAAGTAAAAAGCAAGGTAAGGCCAAGGAAAGAAGAAAGAGAGGATGTGGAGGGAGAAAGGATGTGAGGAGGCGGCAGCACCTCCTGCAGCCGACATCTGCCCAGGGCACTCTGCGCAGTCCCACCAATACCGTCTTCGTTTCCCGTGCTGCTGCCCTGAGAAGGAAAACATAAAAGAGCCATTTACCTGCGACTGCACCAAAGGCACGGGAAGGCGCGGAGTAGGGGAGGGTGAAGGAACAGGAATCTAATAAACATAAAAAGGCACCAACTTCAGAAGAAAAATAAATCCAACTAAAAGGTAAAAGTCTTAACAGTTACTTTGGCAAAGATAAAATTCCGAGTAGTCAGAAACTGAAAGCAGGGTCTGGAAGAGAGATTTGTGCACCCCTGTTCCCAGAGCACCATTCGCAAAAGCCAAGTGGTCGAGGAACCCAAGTGCCCACTGACGGATGAGTGGATAACGAATGCAGTCTATACACACTGGGGACTATTAGCCTGAAAAGGAATTCTGACGGTGCCACAAATGGATGAACCTTAGGGACATTATGGTAACTGAAATAACTCAGACACAAAAGACAAGTACTACACAATTCCACTTCTTCGCAGTATCTACTGCAATCAGTCACAGAAACACAAAGGAAAAGGGAGGTCAGATGGGGAGTTGTTTAATGGACGCAGTTTCAGATATGCCGGGTGAGAAAGTTCGGGAGATGTTTCTCAACAACATGCATATGCTCATTCAGCACTACTGAAATGTACCCTTAAAGATGGCTAAGATGGTGAGTTTTGTGTTATGTATTTTTTGTCACAATAAAAAGGAAAATCTGGGAGGTAGTTAAAATTCAGGGTGCGGGTAAGCACGCCTAAGGAATCCAGGTTGACAAAGCTTTGTGTGAGTCCTGTATCCCAAGCACACGCCTCCTGCTTGGGCCTGGGGTGGTGAACGACCATCGCCTCCGTGGCTCCCGCTCTCCATGCCTGGTCTGCCAGGCACCTTCCTTGTCCTGCTGGCGTTCCTAAGGGCCAAGAGGTTCAGCACAGTTCTGGAGAGCCCAGACTGGCTGAGTTCAGATCCTGGCACCATCCACTGCCTGGTTATGTGGGCTTCAGCTAGTTGCCCAAACTCAGTTTCCTTACATGTAAAATGGGAACTGTATTAGTACCTCTCTCATAGTGTTGCCAGTAATAATAATATTAACAATATTTTAACAGAATTATTAAGTATGATAATAATTTAATAATATTAAGTATAATAATAATATGTAAACCCTTAGCACAACACCTGGCCCATAGCAGGGGTTCAAAAAGTGCTTGTTTTTATCACAAAAAATTTAGGGTACAAGGGTAAGGGGAAAAAAATCAAACCTCCCAAAAATTATAAGTATTTTTATCTAGACGGAGAGAATAATAAAACCATACCTTTAATTCTTTTAAAGAATTAATACAAATGACTTCAATGGCTCAGACAAAATTATTCGGTATATAAGAAATAATGCAGACCTGACTGGCATGGCTTATGCTTCAACATCATCCTGCAAAGCAAAGGGTCACCATAGATTCCTACGCAGGGCACATGCCTGGGTTGTGGGCTGGTCCCCAGTTTGGGTGAATGCAAGAGGCAACCAATCGATGTTTCTCTCACACATTGATGTTTCTCTCCATCTCTTTCTACCTCCCTTCCTTCCTCTCTAAAAATAAATAAAACCTTTAAAAAGAAGGAAAGAAAGAATGTGAATCTGAGCTCCAACAGGCTTCAGAGGTACATTTCCAGAATTCCAGGAAAAAAAAAATTAGATCCTGCAAAAGGTGAACAACCCAAGGGTTACCTTCACAGTTCTCTTTGGGCCCACAATCATCCTGGCTGACAGTCTGATGACAGCAGATAACTGCAGAGATACTACAGAGTCCATGGGGGACCACCCAAGAAAGTCACCACCCAAATTTCCACACCCCTCCTTGGCAATTAAAATGAAGATACTTATCCTCAGCACCTTATGAAGAAGTCCAATTTTCACTGCTTCCCAAGGTCCACTTCAGGAGAAGTCAATTTGTCCACAGGAGGCATAGTTTCCAAAACTGTCCACTGTGAACCTCTGAGAGATGTGGACTGAATTGAGCTTCAGGGTACCAAAGGAGTAGTTCTCAAACAGCTGAAAAGAAAGAACAAAAACCCAGAATGAATACCTAAAGGAAAGTACAGATGGAAATATCACACGTTTTTGTACAAAAACACCAGAACAATCTCAATAAACCTCTTGTGCTTTTTCTTTTCAGTATTTTTCTCAAAAATGATCCTGGAGAGAAGGGGTGAAAGTAGGAGTGAGAAAAGAACAGCAGCTCTTCTCTCTGATTAATCTTAAAGCTTCTTCCAACAAAATGCACTAGACAAAGAGGTCTGAAAAGTTAATTCCAAAATATCTACTGAGTAGATATGAATGAGAACTTGTTATAAATATCCCCTAACTCACAGGGCCTAACAAAGCTGCTACTATGACTTTCAGTTTTGCAGGATCCTAGTTTTGATACAGTCAGAATAAAATTTGATATAATACATTCCTCTATCTAGTCAACAACATTTATCAGAAGCACTGGCTACAATAGATACAAGATAAGATTCCTGACCTACAAAAGATTTGGACAACCAAGTAAAGAACACAAAACACTTACACCCACAAAACAAGAGCCACACTTCAATTGGATGATATAACAAGTATAAATTATTATATTTATCAAAAACCCTTCGTTAGATTTGAAGTTAGGCTAGAATCCTAAAGCAGATGCTCTTTACTACAATTCTTCACTTTAAAAACTTTATGGTGTTGCTCTGGCCGGGTAGCTGAGTTGGTTGGAGCATTGTCTCAATATGCCAAGGTTGCTGGCAGGGTGCCAGCAAGGGTCCCCAAAATTCCCACAGTTAAGATATTTTGCATATATCTATGTCAAGTTGATGGTTAGCTAAGAGCTGTGCTACCGCCCCAGGGTGAACAGTGTATACATGACTTTCTGAATGCATGGTGACTCCTGACTAGCTGGGAGAGCTTACAGCACTTGTGCAAGACGCGGGGAGGCGGAGGCCCCTGCTTCACAGAGTCACACTTGCCCTGACTAAGGATGGCAGCTGAGAGGACAGAACAATATGGAGAAACTGGCAAACATAGCTCTTTGTGGGAGGAGTCGGAGAGGAGGTCACATACGAAGCTGCCGGTCAGGACTGAAACTAAGGGCAGCCAAAGAAAAGCATGGTCCACTATGGGAGAGCTACGATGTAGTCATTAGGCACAGAGAGAGGCTGTTCTTCCATGAAGACAGAGGGGGAGATTCAGTCATGCTGCTGGTAGTGAGATAGGAGCCACGCAGGTGGAGTGAGTGTAGAGGAGGAAGAGGAGGCCCATGATGTATCAGCTGTTCTGGGGAGATTCAGCAACCACGTGAGCTGTAGGCGCTGGTTTGCCACAGGAGGAGTGATGCAGCAGCCATGTGAGAGGGAGCCATGAGCAAGCAGCTATGTAGTCTGCAGTCCATGTGGCCTGGGCTAGTAAGAAAGAACAGCATGCTGATGCTCTGACTGTGCCCATTCTAGCTGACTCTAAAGCCACCAAGGACCTGTTTTACAAGACGCTAACTTGCTGCTTTGCAAACCCTGTCTCTATCTGGACTCTTGGAACTTGGGACATAGAGGCCACTCTACTGGGACTTGTGCCTTTCCTGGACTGCACCAGGATCCGCTGTAGTAACATGGCACATATTTTGCTGGACCAGAACACGGAGGCTGTGGACAATGGACCCCAGAGCCTGAGAACTGTTTGTTGCCAGACTGTTTGCGCAGCCGGCTTGAGCACAGATAAGCAGATGGGGAACTTTGGGGGGTTTTGGCTTATAGCCTTTTGGGGAGCAAGGGAAGTGCTGGCTCTCGTGGGAGAACAGGGCTCTGAGCTAAAGTGCGTCCAGCCCCCCCCACAAGGCTGGAATAATGTAAATAAAAACCTGTTTGTTCCAATACTAATTTACACCAAGGCACCATGTGAACAGGCCCATTTGCTTGGTTACATGACACATACAAGAATCAACCAATGAATGCAAAAATAAGTGGAACAATAAATCAATGTTTCTTAAATCAATAAATTATAAACTGATAAAATTGTAATAAATAGATAAATAACTTTCAAGTGTGTCGGAGGGAGAGATAAATCAAACTCTGAGACAGACTTGCTCTTGTGATGAGCACAATTATAAGGCAGAATCCAAAAGACATCAGAATTCATCCCAGGAAAATTAAGCCACATTGCTTATCTAATCAAAATTAGATAAGGAGTTTCAAAGAAGAAAGGGCTTACCTTCTTCTGTAAGGATGCAAGAGTTGCTCTTCCTCAAAATGTCAACAAGATCCCAAGAAAGCCTTTTGATCCCATACCCAACAATGTTTGAGTAGAACCTTAGGGTAGGACCTCTGCACATTAGCAAGTGACTGTGTCTTCTCTTAATTGTATACAACCTCCACAGCCAAGAACTTCAGACACTGTCACATTTCCTCTTCCTGCAATTAATGGCCTAGGAGAATGCCTGGGGTTCATTAAAGACTAACTTTATAAAAGCCCGGTAAATATTGATTCTTCAACATGACATCAAATTGACCCCACAGATCTATTTAAAGGTTGTATGTACTGCATTGTCTTGTCCTTTGGAAAGGTGATCAGCTCTTGCCTTCATTGATTTACACAATTAACTCCTCTTCCTGGCTTTGGTAGCCTGTTCAAACCATATCCACCCTTTGTATAAAGAAATGCAGCCAAAAAGGTTATCTGTTAATCACTTTGCTGAACGTTAATTTGAAGTGAAAGCCACATCAGTGAGACTGACAGATTTACAACTTTGCAAACCAAAGCCTTATAGATACAAAGCAGATGTGACCAAAGAAGCAATAAAAGATGAAACAAAACAATACTAAAAGGAACTCCTAATACTTTCAACAAACTACTTTTTAAAGATTAGCAGTCCTGTTTCCAAGTGATGGGGACGCCATAGCTAGAGCTGGAAAGTGACCTAGCTCTGACTTCACTTTGTAAGCACAGTACAAGACTCAGCAAAGAGGAAGGAGGGGCTGCAGGAAGGCAGAAATGGGCTTGATGGGCCACGCCAAGTAAACCAGGTTAGATATTGAAAGGGTCTCTAAAAAAGAACAGTGAGAAAGACTAAGGCTAGAGACACAGGAGAATAAATCCGATTAAGGGAGAATAAGGGTCAGGTTCAGAAGTTAGACTTCATTCTAGACAGGGAAGAACAAAAAAAGGCTTCTGAGTACACTGGTGGCCTAAGATGAAAACCCTGTTTTAGGAAATTAATCTGTGTGTGGGGGTCAAGGGAACAAGAGAAAAAAAAAAAAAAAAGAAAGAGAGAGCAGGGTAGTAGTTCAGTCATGAGAGAGATACTGTCTGTTGACTAAGTACTGGTGATGGGCCTGGAGAGATTGGAGCAGATGTGAAATACTATGAAGGAAACACAGAAAAGATTTTGTGACTTCCTAGATGAGAGGGAGGAGGTAAGAAAAGGAGATGAGAAAAATCATAAATGACATTGTGGATATAAGAAACATCCAAACCTGTAAGAATTTTTATGAGTTTATTTGAGCCAATCTGACAATTGCTGGGAAGCAAAATCACAAAAGATTAAGAAAATGCTCCGAGGAATGGTAGTTCTGCACCTTATTGTATACATTAGTATCAAAGGAGAAGATGTAAGGGGGTTACATGAAATTCACTGGTGATAGATTAGAGACCTGGGAGAAAGGAAAAGGGAAATCTCTAGGACTGGATAAAAAGTAAAACAAATGGACACATACTTCTTTTCCTAGTGAATATAGAATAGTTAACAATTAACTCCAGACCAACAACAATGAGGAGTCCTCTAGTCTCCTGTTTTAGTGGGAGACTGTCCTGAGACGTCTGGAATAAGGAAATTGCTCTGATATTCCAAAGGTAGGTTATCCTAGATGTAAAAAGACAACAGATAGGCTCAGTTAACAGAAAGACTGACCTTTATCAGGGAAGATACTGGCCTAGGACTCAACTACCCACCATGACTTGCTTTCAGTTAGGAAGTTTTAACTACAAGCCATCTTATGTGGTTATTTTAGGTCTCTGAGTCTGTAAGTCTGCCACACAGGCCTTCCCTGAGCTTCTAAGGTTTAGGATGTGGCCCCTCTTTCGTCCACAGTATGTTAAATGGGGTATGTGGGGGTACCATTAATAGGAATCAAACACTTCTGAGAGATCCTGTTTTATGGGGAAAGAAGAAACAAATTCAGGTATGTTTACACGCTCATGGCTGTATCTTTAGGTGGATGTGTCCCTTCTCCAACTAAGGGTTTTCCTAGTACATTGAGAATATATGTTAAAGACATGAAATCTGTGGCACAGTTAAGTGGAAGTCTATTAGCGTAAGAAGCTTTACAGGACCTGACTGCTGTGGCTCACTGGGTTGCGCGTTGTCCCACAAACCGAGAGGTTGCAGGTTCAGTCGCCAGTCAGTGTACATGCCTGGGTTGCGGGCCAGGTTACTGGGTGGGCACGTGCAAGAGGCAATCAATCAGTTTCTCTCACACATTGTTTCTCTCCCTCTCCTTCTCTTTCCCTTCCCCTCTCTCTAAAATAAATAAATAAATGAAATCTTTTTTTAAAAAAGCTTTACAGATACACATTTTTTTGAATAGTTCTTTATATATTAGGAAAAATGTACCCTTTGTCTATGTTATAATTACAAATATATTTCCCCCTGGTATGTCATTTGCCTTTTGACCTTGCTTATGGTGGTTTTTATCGTGTCCACCTAAAATTTTATAAACTTGAATGTACTGTGATGGGGAAACAGCGCCAGGTGTTAGACCCGTGGAGTCAGACCAGACCTCAGTTCAACACCCTCAGTACTGGAGCTCTGGCTCAGAGAAAGAACTCAGAGCCAAGACTCAGACTGTAAGAGAAAGTTTACTCAGAAAATCACAAAAGTAGAAGTAACGATTCATAGAAGAAATGGGCTCAGGAAACAAGTTACAGGTGCAAAGGGCCTTTGGCGTTTAGGAGAAAGAGAGAGGCAAGGAAAACACGCCTGGAAGAAGGGGGTGGGGGAAGGCAAGGGGGATTCCTAGGGAGGGCCACAC